CATACCCAATGTCATAAGGTGTGTGAATGTCATGTACACAAGCATATTTTGGTAGTTTGTGTGCAGCATTATATTATTATACAGAATTTTGGAGCATATAAAAAGTATACACAATAGTATAGTATATAATGATGCATATATAGTACTGTGAATTAGGTATGTCATAAGGTATGCAAAAGTATACTTATTCCCTTCAATGGTGATCAGCACGATATACTTGTACGTTTGGTGTTTAATTTTGCATGCAAATTATAATTATTATACCAGTATGACTAATCTAAAAGGTATACACAATAGCTCTGTGATATTTTGGACCTTTTACGATGATTGAACTACATTACATGATTTCATTAAATCTTGGAATTCAATGGATGCATTAGCTGAAAGCAATAGGTGACTGTTTACCTGGTAGTGTCACCCACTTCTTGCTATCATGTTTCACACCTTTTAATTTGTGTTAGTTCGCAAGAATTGCATTCTCTTCTACTAAATAAATCTTTGAAATTAAAATTCCACACACAAATCCATACATAACTGCAATGTACAATACATATACACTGTTATAGTAGTCATTTGATGTATAGTTCAATGATATCCAGTAGAATGCCATTGCCTGAACTCAATGTGGATCCACCATGGCACACTGCCAGTCTAACATCATCAGTGGTTTGTGTATCCAGTGAGCGATAGAACCAAGGCATCTTAGAGTTAGCTGGACAGCAGGTAGACTCTGGGCCATCACATTGCTGTCCATCCCATAATGGATCAGTAGCATAGAGAACATCAGAAGCTGACTGACCAGGATCTGCACCAGACTCACAATAATAATGAGACCCAATGAATGTAGCATTAACATTTAAACCACCATTGTACCCAGTGTTACATGGACAGGCACGAGTATCAGTTCTATCTTCACTTTCTCCTCCTACGTGTGCCCAGATATGATTTTCAATGTTGCTTCCATGAAAAATCAATACACCACTAATGCGTCTGACCAAACGAAAGAAATGAATTGCGTAAGCAATGCCTAATTGATATCCTCTAACTTGTCCACAGACTTTATTGTATGTCAGTCCATTAGTTGAGAAAGTAGTTGAAGCACAGGCAAGACCGTTAACTACTCTACCACACAGTGGGTGACTGATGTTGGTAAAGTTGAATTGTGTTAGTCCAGTAGGACAGGTAGCACCAGACTGGGTCATATTGAGATATCCTACTCTAGTCCAACCACCTTCTCCATCACAATTGATACCATTCATATCACAGTATACCTGTACAGTATATCATTGATGAATGAATCATAGCAAGTTATACTAACCTCTACTGGGGTCACTCCATCAGGATATATAGTGTAGTTACCATTGATAGTGCTACCTTTGCTATTCAAGTCTTTACAATTTTTTTCTATTGAAAATTACTAATCAATAATAATATTACTTGTATATATATCTTTACCTGATGGACAAGACTTTGGTAGTACTCTTGGACAGAGAATGTATCTATTGATGCCATTCCCTTTGATAGTAACACTCCTTCCCAAGTTATCAATAACACAACAGACTCTTAGATATAATAAGAAGGACCCAGAGGTACCTTGATTAGTACAGTCAGTAGACATACAGTAAGATCCACTGGCCGTACTACTAGCATAAAGAAACAGAGACAACAGTAACATCACCTTCATCTTCTTGGCCCTTGATGTGATTTTTGCTGTTGCATAGTGTCACTTATTTTACAAATTTATTATGAACTATAATACTTTGTATGCATCATTCCCATTTCCTTTGGAATTTAATTTACAGTTAGCAAATTATACCATATAGGTCTCTATTGTATTTTGTAAATGTACTCTTAAAATAGTTCAGTCAAATTTAAACTATCAACAAGCCGAACTGTTATAATAGTTTATGAATGTTTTATTTGTATATTGATATTCATAATTTCTCATGAAAGTATTTTTACTGAATTTTTAAGGTAAATTTTAATTTGAAACTTCACCTAAATTGGTGAGTGCATGTGTAGCACATGTATATAATAGTACTGGGAATTACTTAGGACCTTCTACTGTGAACTATGTATTTTGGTATCACGTTACATGTTTTTAATAGTTTCTGCTAATTAAATCTTTGAATTCCATGCATGCACACTGGAGAGGGAGTATAATCAATTGCTACCTGTTTTTCTTGGTAGCAATTCAGCATTGTCACTAAATATCATGTTACATCTTTGAAATTGTGTTAGTTAATAAGAACTGCATTCTCCACTACTAATTCAATCATTGAAAATAAAATTCCATACACAAACACAAACATAACTGCAATATACAGTGCATATACACTGTTATAGTAGTCATTTGATGTATAGTTCAATGATATCCAGTGGAACACCACTGACACCTGACTCTTTGCTGCTACTGCAGACTCTCAACTCAATATCATCAGTGGTTTGTGTATCCAGTGAACGATAGAACCAAGGCATCTTAGAGTTAGCTGGACAGCAGGTAGACTCTCGATCATCACATTGCTGTCCATCCCATAATGGATCAGTAGCATAGAGAACACCGGAGACTGACTGACCAGGATCTGCTCCAGACTCACAGTAATAATGGGACCCAATGAATGTAGCATTAAGATCTAAACCACCACTGTACCCAGTGTTACATGGACAGGCGCGATTATCAGTACTATCCTCACTGAAACCTCCTACATATGTCCAGATATGTTCACGAGGATTGCTTCCATGAGTAATGGATACACCATCGACAGAAAATTCTTCTAGGGAATTACGGTTCTGGCCAGATCCACGAAGCCTTTTGAATGCTTGGGTTTCATAAAATTGATATCCTCTAACTTGTCCACAGACTTTATTGTATGCTAGTCCGTTAGTTGAGAAGCTAGTTGAAGCACAGCCCATATTTCCAGCAGCACACACTGGGTGACTAATGTTTGTAAAGTTCTGTTGTATTAGTCCAGTAGGACAGGTAGCACCAGACTGGGTCATATTAAGATATCCTACTCTAGTCCAACCACCTTCTCCATCACAATTGGCCTGTACAATATATCAATGATACTAGATAAATTATACACTTATACTAACCTCCACTGGGGACATAGTGCTGTTTCCATCAATAGTGCTGTTTCCATCAATAGTGCTGTTTCCATCAATAGTGCTGTTTCCATCAATAGTGCTGTTTCCATCAATAGTGCTGTTTCCATCAATAGTGCTGTTACCATCAATAGTGCTGTTACCATCAATAGTGCTGTTACCATCAATAGTGCTGTTACCATCAATAGTGCTGTTTCCATCCATAGTGCTGTTTCCATCCATAGTGCTGTTACCATCAATAGTGCTGTTACCATCAATAGTGCTGTTACCATCAATAGTGCTGTTACCATCAATAGTGCTGTTTCCATCCATAGTGCTGTTTCCATCCATAGTGCTATTTCCATCCATAGTGCTGTTTCCATCCATAGTGCTGTTACCATCAATAGTGCTATTACCATTAATAGTGCTGTTTCCATCAATAGTACTGTTTCTATCAATAGTGCTGTTTCCATCCATAGTACTGTTTCCATCAATAGTGCTGTTC